TTTTTTTTTTTAAACAAAACAAAACAACAACAAAAAAAACAGGGTCTTGCTAAATTGCTTAGGGCCTCATTAAATTGTGAGTCTGGCTTTGAACTTGGATTCTCCTGCCCCAGCCTCCCAAGCCTCTGGGATTATAGGCATGCATGATTGCACCTGGCTAAATAAACAGCATTAATAAAGTATAATTAAGATATAATAAGCTGTACATATTTAAAATGTCCAATTTGATAAGCTTTGACATATTTATATATCCATGGCATTCTCACCATAATCCAAGTTTCTTCTTATCCTTGGCTCACCTTCTCTCCTACTCCTCTCCCCCAGTGCCTAGGCAACCACTGATCTGCTTTCTGTCACTACAGAGTGGTTAAATTTCCTAGAATTATAAATGAGTTCATAGTGTAGTCTTTACTGCCTCTTTTTCATTATTAGTATTTATTTATTTATTTATTAATTATTTATTTTTGGTATAAGGGGATTGAACCCAGGGGCACTTACCCACTGAACCACATCCCCAGCTCTTTTTATTTTGAGACAGGGTATTGCTAAATTACTTAGGGCCTCACTAAATTGCTAAGGCTGGCTCTGAACTCATGATCCTCCTGCCTCAGCCTTCTAAGCCTCTGGGCTTACAGGTGTGTCCCACTGCCCCTGGCTTCGTTATTATTATTGCTGAGATTCATCCATGTTTTGGCATGCATCCTTTGTTCACTCTTTTTCATTCTAGAGTATTAGTCCATTATATGGATATACTATGGTCTATATACCTAGTCTCTGATGGACAGATGTTTAGGATATATCCTGAATTTTGAGTAGTAGTAATTTTGAGTGTTTTAAATTAGGAGAGAAGTTGCTGTTAAGAGTCCTAGAAATAACTCTTAATCCTGAAAAAAAAAATATATATATATAAATATTCATATATATATTCACATCCTCATTCATTTTTATTTTGAGATAGGGTCTTGCTAAGTTGTTTAGGGCCTTGATGAATTGCTGAAGCTAGCTTTGAAGTCAAAATCCTCATGCCCCAGCCTCCCAAGTTGCTGGAATTACAGGTGTGTACTACCATGCCTGGCTACAAGTGATTGATTTCTGTAATAGTTATAAATGATCTTTGAAGTGTAAAAATTTTATTTTTTTAAAGTAATAAAAAAAGTCTTGAGCTAGGATGTAGCTCAGTGGTACAGTGCTTGCCTAGTATAAAGCCCTGTGTTCAATTCCCAGCACCACACAAACAAACAAAAAAATCATTTCTCTGTTAGTAGCATAGACCAAATAGTTCTAATCACATATTGACTCTATTTATTGGTCCCCTTTCTCATATACTTTCAAACTCTTCCCCCAAATGACATGATTGAGGAAAGACTAGGGAAGGGGCTGAGGTTGTGGCTCAGTGGTAGAGCACTTGCCTAGCATGTGTGAGATGCTAGGTTTGATTCTCAGCAGTGCATATAAATAAACAAAATCATCAACAACTTAAAAAAAAAAAGAAAGGACAGGGAAGATGAAGAGAAGGAGGAAAGCATGTGAAAAAATACTGAAAAGAGTTTCATACTTTTTTTGAGTATTAATGAATCTCTAAAAGATAGGAACAGTTAAGGTGTGGCCATGGTGGGACTTTTTATCAGTCTGTCAGCAAGCATTTATTGAATGTCTCTTGATGTTTCCACATAAGAATTAGTACACAAGATAATCCTTTTGCTCCTGAAACATTTTATATATACGATGCAGTGATAAGACACCACACACATTACCAACTGGTTCTAAATTACAGATTGCTGAATTGAAGGGTTTTAGTTATTCAGCTGCAGTGCCAAAGAGAACTTCAGTCATGGGATGCGCATCTGACAACCTGATGCTGACTGGAAATGGGAGATGAAGTACATCCTTCTTCCTCAGTGTCGATTTTTCTACAGGGATAGGAAAGAGGGAACTAAGAAATTTTCATTACTAAAGTCATTATCCCTTTCTATAATTGACCATTTAAAATAACTGGGGTTTTGTTTTTTTGTTTGTTTATTATACTTCCTTTTCCAGCCCACAATTGAGAAGAAGAACTATTTCCTCTTTGGGATACTCTGTGGACTCTCCCTGTACAATTTAAATGTTGCCAATCTTTCTTTCCCACTGGCTCTGTATAAGAAACTTCTCTGCAAAAAGCCATCATTGGAAGATTTAAAAGAACTCAGTCCTCTTTTGGGGAAGTAAGTAAATATATTAAGACTATATCTAGTAAGTCTCAATGGTTTAAGAATAAATAATATTATACAGAGAAATACATAGATAAGGTCTTTCATTTCAATATTGTATATCCTTCAGATGAATCTGAATTTTAGCATTACTTAAATTGAGTAAACCTAGCTGTTCATGGTGAGGCACGTCTCTAATCCCAGCAACTCAGGAGTCAGAGGCAGGAGATGTGCAAATTCAAAGTCAGCTTTTGCAACTTAGGAAGGCCTTAAGCAACTTACTGAGAGCCTGTCTTAAAATAAAAAATAAAAAGGACTGGGGATGTGGCTCAGCGGTTAAGCACTCCTGGGTTCAATCATCAATGCCAATGAGTAAGTAAATACATAAGTACATAAGAATAAATATAAAAAGGACTGAGGATGTGGCTTAGTGGTTACAGGCTGGGATTACAGGCATACACCACCATGCCCAGCTCATGCACTGTTAGTGGGAGAATAATTTGGCTAGATTTATTCTAATAAGGTTTGTCAACCTTGGAAGGATTGACATTTTGGACTATTTAAATTTTTTTCTTTTTTTCTTCAGTGCTGCAGATCAAACAGCAGGGCCTCCTGCATGCTAGAGAAGCAGTCTACCACTGGGCTATACTAGTGGCCCCCTGGATGTTTAATTCTTTCTTGTGTGAGGCTGTCCTAGGCACAGTGGGATGCTTAGAAGCATCTGGGATTGCTACCCACTTTGCCAGCATCAGCCCTCCCATTCATTGTAACAACCAAAGATGTCTCCAGACTTTACCAGATGCCCCCTGAGAGGCAGATCATCCCTGGTTGAGAATCACTGGTCTAGAGGAAGGGGTTCCTTTTTGTACTTTTCGTAATACACTGCAAATGTCTATAGGATAGCCATGGTCCAAAAATCAAAT